CCCCCCCCCCCCCCCTCTGGGCGGCCCTGAAGTTGAGCTTGCAACCAACATGACATCATAAATTAGCGGGCATATTCACACTCATTTACATATCAAACAAATTGAAATATCTCAGGAACAAACCATAAAAACAAGAAACGGAAAAATAAGTTACACTGCAACTTAAAAAGTTCTTTCATTTAAGAAAATAAGAAATCTCATGTCATATGCACTTTAAAACACTTGTTGTTTAATTTAAAGGGCATACGACTCGAAAATCGACGTTGTTATTTTTTAGTCTAATTTGAAAGATAATTGAAAACTGTAGCGTAACTTCTTTGACAGATTTTTGTTTTCTTGCTTCGTTTTGGAGATATTTCATTTTGTATGATATGCAAAGGACCAACTTTCTACGTCAACATGCATAATGACTTTAAAATGTTATATAATTTTGTCACTATCAAATAAATTCGCTCAAAATGAATGACGAGCACGAGATTTGTCAACAACAACACCCATGTAGGTTTTCTACTGATTGTGTTTAGTCGTATTAAAGCAATAAAACAAAAATCTATCAAAGAAGTTACTCTTCAGTTTTCAATGATCTTTCAAATTAGACTAAAAAATAACAACGTCAATTTTCGAGTCATATGCCCTTTAACACTAAGTCAGTTGACTTATTTCCCTCAAATATTTCTTACAAATCCTTCAAAACGTAGAGTTTACCTTCACAGAAACACTAGGCTTTAAGGTCTGCTTTGTAGCTCGCCTCCATAAACGCTTGCTTTTGAACAAACGAAGTGCTAAGGTCTGAAAACAAAGGGTCAATGTGTGACATGATCAATATGGTGTTATTTCATTGAATATCATTCTGGATTGTGCGGACACTGCTGCCCGTTTTGTTTGTAGTTGGTATTATATACAGATTGTATATCACGTGTGTTGGTTAGTCGGGTTTAAATTGAGGTGTTTTGTTGTATTGGAGAAATCTTGTATTATATTTGAATAAAATTATTCGACATTGATTCAAATGTGTTCTTTAATTTCTGGTAGTACTGTATATTTTTTGTAACTTTGTAACCCAAATATAAAAAAAGTTAGTTTAGTTTGGGTTTCCTCCTGTAGTGACACTGGATCAATAAGACTGGACCTCTAGGGAGAACAGTTTAGAACTGATAGAGCTATCCAGTATAAATAAAGTTAGTTTAGTTTAGGTTTCCTCCTGTAGTAACACTGGATCAATAAGAGATAATCCTTACTGGACCTCCAGGAAGAACAGTTTAGAACTGATAGAGCTATCCAGTATAAATGAAGTTAGTTTAGTTTAGCTTTCCTCATGTAGTAACACTGGATCAATAAGAGATGATCCTTACTTGACCTCTAGGAAGAACAGTTTAGAACTGATAGAGTTATCTAGTATAAATAAAGTTAGTTTAGTTTAGGTTTCTTCCTGTAGTAACACTGGATCAATAAGAGATCATCCTTACTGGACTCTAGGGAGAACAGTTTAGAACTGATAGAGCTATCCAGTATAAATAAAGTTAGTTTAGTTTAGGTTTCTTCTTGTAGTAACACTGGATCAATAAGAGATGATCCTTACTGAACCTCTAGGAAGAACAGTTTAGAACTGATAGAGCTATCTAGTATAAATAAAGTTAGTTTAGTGTAGGTTTCCACCTGTAGTAACACTGGATCAATAAGAGATGATCCTTACTGGACCTCTAGGAAGAACAGTTTAGAACTGATAGAGCTATCCAGTATAAATAAAGTTAGTTTAGTTTGGGTTTCCTCCTGTAGTAACACTGGATCAATAAGAGATGATCCTTACTGGACCTCTAGGAAGAACAGTTTAGAACTGATAGAGCTATCCAGTATAAATAAAGTTATTTTAGTTTAGGTTTCCTCAGTCCTGTAGTAACACTGGATAAATATGAGATGGCTCTTACTGGACCTCTAGGGAGAACAGTTTAGAACTGATAGAACTACCCAGCATAAATAAAGTTAGTTTAGTTTAGGTTTCCTCCTGTAGTAACACTGGATCAATAAGAGATGACTCTTACTGGACCTCTAGGAAGAACAGTTTAGACTGATAGAGCTATCCAGTATAAATAAAGATAGTTTAGTTTAGGTTTCTTCCTGTAGAGCACTGGATCAATAAGAGATTATCCTTACTGAACCTCTAGGAAGAAAAGTTAAGAACTGATAGAACTATCCAGTATAAATAAAGTTAGTTTAGTTTAGGTTTCCTCATGTAGTAACACTGGATGAATAAGAGATGATCCTTACTGGACCGCTAGGAAGAACAGTTTAGAACTGATAGAACTATCCAGTATAAATAAAGTTAGTTTAGTTTAGGTTTCCTCATGTAGTAACACTGGATCAATAAGAGATGATCCTTACTGGACCGCTAGGAAGAACAGTTTAGAACTGATAGAACTATCCAGTATAAATAAAGTTAGTTTAGTTTAGGTTTCCTCATGTAGTAACACTGGATCAATAAGAGATGATCCTTACTGGACCACTAGTGAGAACATTTAGAACTGATAGAGATATCCAGTATAAATAAAGTTAGTTTAGTTTAGGTTTCCTCCTGTAGTAACACTGGATCAATAAGAGATGATCCTTACTGGACCTCTAGGAAGAACAGTTTAGAACTGATAGAGCTATCCAGTATAAATAAAGTTAGTTTAGTTTAGGTTTCCTCCTGTAGTAACACTGGATCAATAAGAGATTATCCTTACTGGACCTCTAGGAAGAACAGTTTAGAACTGATAGAGCTATCCAGTATAAAAAAAGTTAGTTTAGTTTAGGTTTCTTCCCGTAGTAACACTGGATCAATAAGAGATGATCCTTACTGGACCTCTAGGAAGAACAGTTTAGAAATCATAGAGCTATCCAGTATAAATAAAGTTAGTTTAGTTTAGGTTTCCTCCTGTAGTAACACTGGATCAATAAGAGATGATCCTTACTGGACCTCTAGGAAGAACAGTTTAGAACTGATAGAGCTATCCAGTATAAATAAAGTTAGTTTAGTTTAGGTTTCCTCCTGTAGTAACACTGGATCAATAAGAGATGATCCTTACTGGACGTCTAGGAAGAACAGTTTAGAACTGATAGAGCTATCCAGTATAAATAAAGTTAGTTTAGTTTAGGTTTCCTCCTGTAGTAACACTGGATCAATAAGAGATGATCCTTACTGGACCTCTAGGAAGAACAGTTTAGAACTGATAGTGCTATCCAGTATAAATAAAATTCAACATCCCTTACTTTGCATTAAAATCATCTTGTGATATACTGTAATAAAACTCTTCAATCAATTCATAGTCCACTACAGCTTTATCGATCAGTTCTTGATTTTTCTTCAGTAAATCAGGAATGGTTTTCATGTACTCTCGCTGTTCGGAAAGCTCTTCGATACAGTTTGGTTTGTCGTACAGGGTACGCGCTATCTGCTTGAACTCTTCACATGCCTAGAAAACACAGTAGAAAAGTTAGATAAACCCTGACCGAGGCCTGATATGCGGTGTTTACAGAAAGCCCGAAATATCTCTCAAGTGTGAATGGGGTTTGCTGTACATAAGTATCCTAATCGTCTCTGCCAACTTTTCCTGAGGGAAGAAGCCTGAATACATGCTTACAAAACGCACAAGTTGTTACAGGTCTGCAAACAAGTTGTTACAAATATGTTCACAAGCTGTCGACAAGTTGTGTTCGCACTGCTTGTTCCCAGCTGTTGTAACAAGTTTGGAACAAGTTGTTAACAACTTGTAACAACCTTGATGGCACTATCAGACTTGTTACTAGGTTGTTCCAACAAGTCTGATACAGTCATGATATAACAAGAATGTTACAAGGTTGTTCTAACAAGTCTGTTACAGTCATGATATAACAAGATTGTTACAAGGTTGTTCTAACAAGTCTGATACAGTCATGATATAACAAGATTGTTACAAGGTTGTTCTAACAAGTTTGATACAGTCATGATATAACAAGATTGTTACAAGGTTGTTCTAACAAGTCTGATACAGTCATGATATAACAAGATTGTTACAAGGTTGTTCTAACAAGTCTGATACAGTCATGATATAACAAGATTGTTACAAGGTTGTTCTAACAAGTCTGATACAATCATGATATAACAAGAATGTTACAAAGTTGACGACACAAGGTTGTAACAATATTGTTATGTCATGACTGTATTGGACTTGTTGGAACAACCTTGCATCAAGTCTAATAATATCAACAAGTTTGTTACAAGTTGTTAACAGTTTGTTCCAAACTTGTTGACAACTTGGGACAAGCAGTGCGAACACAACTTGTTGCCAGACTTCCTACAAGATGTGAGATGTTTACGCGTGTACCATGCAGTGACAATACTAAGCTTAAACCAGTGACAATACTTTTAAAACAGCACCAAACAAACCTCTTCATTCTGTTTCCTTAATTTCTTCGCCAACAGCTCGATGACTTGATTCGCCAACGCTTTCCTCTTAGTGGCCAGTTTCTGACGAACCGTTTCGGTGTTTATTTGAAATGGACCAATGACAATCATGGAAGGTATGGTGTTTTCAAGAATTTCTTTTTCTGCAAGATGTTTTTCAATTTCCAGCTTCACCTCTACCGCGCTGTGGTCTTGACTGTCGTAATCACTGCAAAAACGAAAGAAATTCACTAAGGACTATCGACTCAAGCAAAAAGCATCACCTCATTCTTAAAGGGTATGAGCAACAAAAATTTCTTATGTAAAAAGTTTCTTTCACTTGAAAGAACTCGTCAAATCGTAATGGTGCATATATTACAAATTTGTCGTATCTTTATTCGTTTTGGAGATATTTCAGTGTGTTTGATATGCGAATTATGACGTCGCAAGCTGGGTACAAAATTTTAAAACATTCAAATATCAGAAAACTCCATTCGATTGCTCAACATGCCAAGTTAGTGTCATAAAGAGTTGTCATATACAGAATGCCAAAGTAAATAGAAACAATGTGCAGAATGTAGCGGATATTTTAATCTTATTTAAACACAGAATTGATATTTTTAATGTTTTAAAATTTTCTACCCAGCTTGTGACGTCATAATTTGCATAACAAACACATTGAAATATTTCAATAACAAAGAAAGATACGAAAGATTTGTAGTATATGTTCCATTACCATTTCACAAACTTTTTCAGATGAAAGAAACTTTTATTGCAAGAAATTTTTGTTGCTCATACCCTTTAAGAACTTCTGAAATGATATAATAACTTATTTTGAAGATTTTCGTTTGCTCACTTTGGTTCTGAGATATTTCAATTTGTTTGGTATGCAAATACCCGGAATTTACGTCACAAATGCATAGTGACTTAAAGTAAAAGCTCGTATATCGTATTCACTATGAGTTTAATTCATTAAAATGAAGTTTGGAGTTGTGGGAGGATTACATACTGTACCTATGTAAAACACCATTTAGTCTTTTTATTTCATGATATTTAACTGTACCTTACATTCTTTGATCAGTCATTATTCATATGTGACGTAAATTCCGGACATTTGCATATCAATAAAACTGAAATAACTCAGAGACAAAGTGTGCAAACGAAAATCTTCAAAATAAGTTACAATATCATTTCAAAGGTTCCTAGGAACGAGATGTTAGAAGAATTGAGGTTAGGTGTACTTTAAATACACCTTAAAAAACTCATTAATAATTCATGAAGAAAATACAAAAGAAACGATTGTTTAATCAATGCTTGTAAATCGGATAAAAATTTGTCCTCATTTACATAAACTTCAGCTTTCATTTTCTCGGCTTAGACAATGTTTATTTTTAAAATTACTTCGCCAATGAACTCATAAGATGGGTCGTATTTTTAAGCACGTTAAAACATTCGCATCCGATCTATATCTGATATATAAACTCTCCCCTTCGGCTCGAGTTTGTAACTTTGTATATCAGATAAAGATCGACTGCTCATGTTTTAACTAGTATACATATATGTTTAAAAAACTCATTAAAAATTGATGAGGAAAAGGCAAAGAAAATCATATGTGATAAAAAATTATGTTCATTTACATAAACTTTAGCTTTCAATTGATTTTCTCTGCTTAGACAACGTTTATTTTTAAAATTACTTCGCCAATGAACTCTTTCGATAGGTCGTTTTTTAAGCCATTTAAAGCGCTCGGAGTCCGTACCTTATCAGATATAAAACGCTGGAGCTACGCGAGTTTTAAATAGTACACAATAAACCTTATCTATCCTTCCTTATATACTTTAAGTATGCATTGATATCCAAATTGAACAACTCTAAATGTGAACCAGGGATCAAGTAAAGTTAAACTTTCATTACCTCAAAGTAATCATGTTCAACACTCGAAATAAATCTGGTATTTCCGCGCACCCATGTATTTCTCTGTTTATTATATAAAGGACAGTCTTTGAAAAGCGATAATTTTTACAGAAAAGCGATAATTGAAAAGCGATAATTTTCACATGTGAGATTATCATGAATAATCTCACATGTGAGATTATCACTTCTATAAGTGCTCGAAATCTCTTTCAAAAACTCATTAATAATTCAGTAGGAAAACACAAAGAAAAATCATAAGCGTGTCGTATCTTTATATGTGATAAAAAATCATGTTAATTTACATAAACTTTAGCTTTGATTTTCTCGGTTTAGACAAAGTTTATTTCAAAAATTACTTCGCTAATGTACTCATCAGAAGATGGGCCGTTTTTTAAGCCATTTAAAGCACTTGTAGTCGTGTTTTATCAGATATAAAACGCTCGCTCGGCTGCACCTCGCGTTTTATATCTGATAAAACACTCCTACGCGTGCTTTAAATATAGTACATATACTTCAAAAACTCATTAATAATTCATGAAGCAATTATCCAGTCTTGAGTAAGAAATTAGTCACGTGCATACGTCTTTATACCAACTAAGAACACTTTAACGAAAGACCATTGTTATGCAAACTATATAAAGATTTTTATATAAAGATTTTTATATAAAGATTTTTATATAAAGATTTTTATATGAAGATTTTTATATAAAGATTTGACTTATTATGCATACGTTTTTGAAGTCATTTAAAAAACTCGCGGTTTTTTAAATGACTTGGTCGTGTTTTATTAGGTCTAAAGCCACTCGCGCTGCGCGCTCGTGGCTTTAAACCTAATAAAACACTCCTGCTCGTTTTTTAAATAGTACATAAAGCACTATACGTTATATAATAATACACAATAAACCTTATCTATCCTTCCTTACCTTAAGTATGCATTGATATCCAAATTAAACAACTCTAAATATTTTTCATATTCTCTTGCATACGCAATCAACGGTATGATAGACTTCTGTGTTGCCTTTCTTATGAACTCTCTCGTCTCGACCACGGGAGGTTCATTCTCGCCCACAGTTTCCAACAACGGTGTAGCACTCCAGAATAATTTCTTCATTACCATCTTTTCCAGCTGTGGCACGTTTTTGGTACATGCGATGCCTTTGTCGAAGAGACTGATGACAGTTTGTTCAAAGTTTTGAAGATCAATACCATAACCTACTCCGTCTTTGTCCATTGTTAGATCCACGAAGAAAAGTGGATTCTTTTTTGGCCTGTGTTTGGGAAGGATAAGCATTGTTAGGTGAGATATCTTTACTTATACTGGATTGCTCTATTAGTTCTAAAGTGTTCTTCCTACAGATCCAGTAGGGATCATCTCTTATTGATTCAGTGTTACTACAGGAGGAAACCTAAACTAAACTAACCTTATTTATACTGGATAGCTCTATCAGTTCTAAACTGTTCTTCCTAGAGATCCAGTAGGGATCATCTCTTATTGATCCAGTGTTACTACAGGAGGAAACCTAAACTAAACTAACTTTATTTATACTGGATAGCTCTATCAGTACTAAACTGTTCTTCCTAGAGGTCCAGTAAGAATCATCTCTTATTGATCCAGTGTTACTACAGGAAGAAACCTAAACTAAACTACCTCAATTTATACTAAATAGCTCTGTCAGTTCTAAACTGTCTTCCCTCAGCAAAATCGGTTATAAATTATCGAACTATTTACTTGTATGGACTGTTAATAATATCTTCGCCCCAAACAAGATCTTCTTGGACATTCAAGACTTCGTGACATCCGTCATGAACAGTTTGTTTGTATAACGCCAGAGAATCTTGCACCAAGTATCGCAACGTGTCCTAAATGAATAACCAAGAATGTAAAATGTGTTAGTTATTCAAGAAAGCTGAGACGCAAGTCAGATATGGTTAGCCCCTAACCCCTGAGCCTCAAACGAGAACAAGAGTTGCATGAGAGTTGAGAAGCGAGAGTTTACATGAGAGTTTTCTCAACTTTCATTGCTTGATTAAACGAGAACAAGAGTTGCATGAGAGTTGAGAAGCGAGAGTTTACATGAGAGTTTTCTCAAATTTCATTGCTTGATCAAACGAGAACAAGAGTTGCATGAGATTTGACAAGCAAGAGTTTACATGAGAGTTTTCTCAACTTTCATTGCTTGATCAAACGAGAACAAGAGTTGCATGAGAGTCGACAAGCAAGAGTTTACATGAGAGTTTTCTCAACTTTCATTGCTTGATCAAACAAGAACAAGAGTTGCATGAGAGTCGACAAGCGAGAGTTTACATGAGAGTTTTCTCAACTTTCATTGCTTGATCAAACGAGAACAAGAGTTGCATGAGAGTTGACAAGCGAGAGTTTACATTAGAGTTTTCTCAACTTTCATTTTTTGATCAAACGAGAACAAGAGTTGCATGAGAGTTGACAAGCGAGAGTTTACATGAGAGTTTTCTCAACTTTCATTACTTGATCAAACGAGAACAAGAGTTGCATGAGAGTTGACAAGCGAGAGTTTACCTGAGAGTTTTCTCGACATTCATTACTTGATCAAACGAGAACAAGAGTTGCATGAGAGTTGACAAGCAAGAGTTTACATGAGAGTTTTCTCAACTTTCATTACTTGATCAAACGAGAACAAGAGTTGCATGAGAGTTGACAAGCGAGAGTTTACATGAGAGTTTTCTCAACTTTCATTGCTTGATCAAACGAGAACAAGAGTTGCATGAGAGTTGACAAGCGAGAGTTTACATGAGAGTTTTCTCAACTTCCATTACTTGATCAAACGAGAACAAGAGTTGCATGAAAGTTGACAAGCGAGAGTTTACATGAGAGTTTTCTCAACTTCCATTGCTTGATCAAACGAGAACAAGAGTTGCACGAGAGTTGAGAAGCGAGAGTTTGCATGAGAGTTTTCTCAACTCTCATGCCCCGGCCAAACCAGAACAAGAGTTGATATTACCGCGCGCGTAGCCAAAACTCTCGTCAAAAAGATTCAAGCATTACTTCTTTTTACAGGACTTTACTCCTGCAGCAAAGCGTTACAATTTAATCTGGGTTCAATGGGTTTTATTATATTTAACTGATGGTAAGCACTGAATAGAGGCATAGTCCGATTTGCTTTGGCATTGCAGGACTTTTTTATTTTAAATTATAAATGTATTTTACTGCGGATTCAGGTAGACCGTGAAATGCGAATAGTTGTCGCGTTAGTTTTAACAGTTGTACGATGACGTTTCTAGGCAGATTTTCGACGTTTCTAAGGCGTGGCTTCAACGTTTATTTTTAAAATTTGAACGTTGAACGTTGTAATAACAACGTTCAAATTTTAAAAATAAACGTTGAAGCCACGCCTTAGAAACGTCGAAAATCTGCCTAGAAACGTCATCGTACAACTGTTAAAACTAACGCGACAACTATTCGCATTTCACGGT